GTCATATTAACATGGAATAAAAAATCTATTAATAAAAGTATCTATTAAAAACCTATTTTATAAACGATCAATCATTTTATTTTATCAAGTCGGAGGAGCGAGAGATTTCCCGAGATTCGGACGTGGGTTATCTGTCTCATCTCACGTCTGCTATTCGCGAAACGATCGTCGATTCGTCGCTAAAACGTTTGTCAGCGCGAGAACGATGCTGAAGTACCGAAGCCTAACAATAGCATCGCCGCGAGCTCTCTATGTCTGATGTCTTGATTTCCCCGTCAGTGGCTTCGGTAAATCTTTCCGATCCTTCTTTCCGACGGGGATTGCACTGCTACAGCTTCGCGCGGATTTTAAGTGTTTCTCGTGTCTGCTTTGGACAGCGACAATCATGTCTGTCGCGTACGCGCGATCGATTTTACCGGAGGTAAAAGCGCGGAAGAGAGGACCCTCGGACTTTGCGTCTGACGCTTTATCGATACGGATTTAATTTTCGTGAAAGCGGATGCGACTGGCGAGTGTATGCGAGCGATTCGAATAACCCGTGAAACCTACGAAGGCGGAATATGGAAGGCGGAGGGATCTACGGCCGGGATACGTGACCGGACACGACAACTCGAAGATAGAAAAATGATCTATCGACCAAGTTCGTTGGTAGAGAGGTGCCGATAGGAAGATGGATGGCGTGGTAATGCTGTTTGCAGAGAGTTCCAATTTCTCTGTCGGATAATATAATTCCCAATCTCGCAATGTTGCCTCACGCCGCAGGCAGCGGCTCCGCGGATTAATGGCACGCGGTGAAATGTGTATCGGTGACAGATCGCCATATGATCGATGAATGTCACTAACGAGTCGGGAGGCCATTGCAAGCGACATATCGTGAATTTATAATAATTAAAAAGAAATTAATCAGAAACTGATGAGCGAGCAAAATATAGCAAATTAATTATATCAGCAAAAAATTAAGTAATAGTGTGTAAATCTTTGTCATATTTTTTTATATAAATAATATATATAAATTTTCTTTATATAAATAATATGTATCCGCGTTAGTATTTTTTAACTTATATAATATAATCTATTATAAATCAATTTTATTTTATATAAAGATTTTATATGAAGAGACGCAGTATCTTTTTTTTTAATGAGACATTATAATTTCGCAAACAAATTATTAAGGCAGCTAAATATTGCTATCTCTGATATCAACTGCGGAGAAACCTCGAGAACATTCGTTTCTTTGAGCGAGAACGAGACTAATATGGCGCCGTAAGACCCGATAAGAATTATTATCAGCGTTTGTCTAGATACGGTGCGATAATGCGAGAAATGCGCCACGTAGGACACTATATTCGCATTGCCCGAGGCCAACAAATATTTACGTAATTCACAATGAGTAAACTATGCAAGGTACCTTAATCGTTCTCCGAGGCGGGTAGATAGAAATCGTTCCTGTCGACAAGCAGAAATTAATTTCTACGTGTTTCCAGCGTGGCGAAGCATACGAATCTAGATAAAGGGATCGTACGACCTTTAGGGTCCACAGCGACCCTTTTGTTAAACGAGTTTCTCCCTAGAGCCGCACATATCACTTAAACCTTACAATTGTCAACCTGGTATGCCGTTGGTGCTCTCGTAAACTTACCTAACGATTCAACTTGCAATCGCCTTTTATCAGATTTAGAAGCAAAGTATAATACTTAAGTCAAGATTTAGATTTTGTGCATCGCTTATTAAATGATGGGAACTGCTCATTGTGGTAATACATCGCAGATAACACCATAAATAATACGCATCACGTGTGGCAATATCAGCCGATATTTGCATGACGTTAAATTAAAATAAACATCGTATGCCGTGCGCACGCACACGTCGATATATCATTTATTTTATGTCACCGGTATTATACGTGACAATATGTTACGCTTTCTATTTAGCGATACCATTTTACGAGATTTACGCGTTCAGCACGTTAGATAATTATATTAAAAAAAAAAGAGATTTATCTCGCTCTGCAAAAATTCATTATATTCGTGCTATAATTCGCTCATATTCTCTTAAATAACGCTTTGAATATACGACATAAAAAAGGTAAATTTTATAAAAATTTATAAAATTATATATTTATTTAACATTGGGTGAAGCATCTCTATCAGCGCTTTGGACGATATTTTAATATATAAAACGTTACTCTTTTTTTTTTATTTTTTTATACACAGAAATTGACTACGTTACATGAATTATTTACGAACGCGCGCGTTTCTCCCCTCAAAAGAGCACGTCTGATAAATGAACGGCTTCGACCTTTTTTTTTCTACGACTCTCAATCGATAATTTATTATTCACGAAATGTTAAGCGAATAAATAATTGAAAATATATATTCTCGATTTGCGCGCAAGCAGATTTTTCAATTTCATAGGTCATTCGGGAGCGCGTGATTTATATTGAAATTTTCGCGAGTTTTTCCGGCATATCTAGAGCTTTGATACGTAAAATTCCGCTCTTCGAATCGCGCGCATTTTACGTAAGATGGGTACATATTTCAGCGACATCCACTCCGCAGGAGGTAGATGAAGAAGATTTTGGAGCAGAGATGAGAGAAGCGAAGAATGGCGCAATGTCGCACCGAAGATCGAGAGAGATCTGGCCCTCGCACATCGAGGAATGCCAGAGTTATTTTAGGCCTTCATTGCCTTCCCCATTCTACAGAGACACGTTTGCGCGACGTAACAAAATAATGAAGAAGAGCGCCCCTTATCGTTGCGACAACACCCTTCCAGTCGACTCTTTCGAGACGACGAAAGAAAAAAATCTTCTCTCCGCGAACTCTCTTTCTCTCTCTCTCTCTCCCATCCTCGGTTCTACTTTTAGTCTTCTCTCTCTTCTTCCTTCTCATTCTCTTTTATGATTCCTGAAAGAATACCGGAGCACACGCTAAAGGGAAGACTTTACGATGATGAAGAGCGTCGTGACATTCTCCGCGCATAAATACTTTTTCCATTAGAAGGGGACATAGAGTAGAAACGTGAGCCCTTGTTCTAGGAGCTCGTCTCTTTGTCCTCGTAAACAGTCCCTTTAAAGCTGTGCTTATGAAAAAGTTACGGGTTATCTATGATGACGTAAGCGGGCTACGCGTTTCCAAACATTCTCCAGATAAGAGAGCCGATAAAATATTATCGATATAATTGGTTTATTTTAAAAAAATCTTGTTATCTTAATCAAACATTTCCGAGAAGTCTTTACTCGGTTGGAGGGAACGGAGCTATTATTTATACCTCTAATATTATGCGCTTCCTTTTCTCTTTCGCTCGATTTTCCGTTACGAAGAACGTTACTTATACATATCGAGTACTCTCGCGGGACATTTTTTCCATTATGCCAAGCAGTATCTCATTCTCTTCTATGAACAATGAAATTACATAAAAAAGCGAACCATAACCGACACGGCATAAACGTTAAATTACATTTTCCATACGTTTCTTCAGTCATTGCGGCTCCAGATAGCGTAAAGACAGAAGAAAAAGTCAATCTAAAGTGCCTCGGCAAAGGCAAATAAATTTTTATGTTTGATACATGTCGCGGAAACAACATTATTTAAATCTTTTGAGAACAAAAATATAATTAATTATTTAATATTTACAAAGCTACATCTGAATAAATTACATCGCGATAAACTTAGCGCGTAACAGATTATTTTAAATAATTTAGACCAAGTTTTATTCGAAGAGCTAGTTAATTAATCATGTTTGTATTATATCTATAATTAGTAGTATAGATCTGTAGCGTAGATTTTAAATTTATCAACCGTCTTTTCTTCCTCTCTCTTTCATACGTCATCTTCTTTACGTACGCACAATATGTCAAGTAACAACTACCGAGCACAAAAGCAACACTCAGGCGACGTTTCATTGCGGCTTTACTTACTGCACCATTGGTGCAGACAGAGCAAGAACCTTAGTTATACATGGTTAACGTTAATTGATGTTACCGGCTCTTGAATATGATAATTAATCCTGAAATGGTAACGCGTAGAACTGTATGTAAACCGAGCAATGTAAACAAAACATTTTAACAGATTGCCGATGGGCTGTGAGATTTACTCATCCGGTATAATATAGGAATTCCCGTAATCTGTTATCAGTGTAAAATGGGCGACCTACTTTCAAGTTAGTCAGTAATTATTCATAGCAGCAAACATCACTGCGTTTTGTGCTACTGCAATTAATAACTTGTCTCAAGTGCTATGCATTATTGTGGTCTATGATCTAAAGTTATTGTTATACTAAAGATTTCTGTATTCTAGAGAAAACTAATTCATTCGATTTCCAACTATCAAAAATACTTGCGGAAAAATAACAGGAAAATAAATAAAATATTGTAACTTTTTGGAATATAATAATTACGATAGAAAACGGTATGTTTATCACTTTAAGATTAAGAAACAGATTTATTTTTATCAAGTTTTAAACATTTCTTCTTTTACCATCTTAAAATTTCTTTAAAGAAAATTATAATTAACTTAACACGTTTAACGAAAAATGCAAAAATGCAGAAAATTTTTAAAAAATAAATGTTATATTGCATAGTATAAAAATAACAAAAAAATTAATAACTTGTCTCAAGTGCACTATTATGGTCTATGATCTAAAGTTATTGTTATACTAAAGATTTCTGTATTCTAGAGAAAACTAATTCATTCGATTTCGAGCTGTCCAAAATACTTGCAGAAAAATCGCACAAGAAAATAAATAAAATATTGTAATAACTTTTTGGAATATAATAATTACGATGGAAAACGGTATGTTTATCACTTTAAGATTAAGAAACGGATTTATTTTTATCAAGTTTTAAAAATTTCTCCTTTTACCACCTTAACATTTCTTTAAAGAAAATTATAATTAACTTAACACGTTTAACGAAAGATGCAAAAGTGCGACAAAATTTAAAAAAAATAAATGTTATATATGTTATAAATGTTATATTGCATAGTATAAAAATAACTCACGTATTTTCCTTTTGGTCGCCGTTGGCCGAATGCGATGGAGACGGTTGAGCCTGTTTGGAGTAGGGATGATGATGCACCACGTTGTTGTTATTATTGTTGTTGTTATGCATGTGCACCTTGTTGGCGTTGCTGTCCGTGGGAGAGCCTGGCGAGATTTTTCCCGCCAGAGCGTTGAGCGACTGTAGCATTTTCATTGGGATTCGTCTGGCGACCGGCTGACGGTGACTCCTTTGCTCGGTCTCGTTTATCCTTGAGGAAGACAGGATTATTGTACACTGGCGGTTTGAAGGTGTCAAACCCTCAAACTCTACTGTATGTCGCGCGAACGGGTTACTTATACGAACGACACACGACACTCTCGGAGCTGCGTTCGACGACGACTGCTAATTCTTAGCACGCGAATTATACACTCATCACGTGATTAAACACACCGACAACACGAAAGTGCGCGATTGAAAGGCAGAAAGTCCCATTAAAGTCTCGATTCGTTCGAATAGTATGTGACAACAATTGATCCGACGTTCGTTTCTCTTTCGTATACTTCAGAATGCCAGAAGAGCGTCTATGGAGGTCCGTTGAGAGACGATTCAGCTATAGATATGGAACCCTGTGGACAAGTACCGGTGTTTCATAAGAATCTTATCTACGATTCGCGAAATTAATTGCGTGCCGATTATCAATCTCGAAATTCGCGTTAAATTTAACGATTTCAATTCCCGTGCTCGCTTTTGATTTAAGCTTCTAAAACATGATATACAGCGGTGTAGCTGATGGATTTATTATTGCAATAATTGCGAAACGATTAATTTAAATTCATCGTATATCTCAGATCTACTTCAACCTCTACATTTATTATTTCCTTAAACGCGTTTGTTTGTGTTAATTAATTTTTACGAAAATATATTATGCATTTTTAAAAGATTAAATTTAAATTCCTATCATTCTTATCGGATACAATCTTTTTGCAATTGTACAAAGCAAAATTTGCATAAAAGTAATCAAATGTATTTATAAATAGACATATTATATATTCAAATGCATTTAAGGAAAAAGAATCTATTTTTCCTCGCGCAATTATCATAAGAAATTTTATCTCGTCTGATTCAACCATTTAAATGAGATCTTAAAAATAACACGACGAGATAAAATATAACAATTTTTTATTTATTCATGAGTGCAATATGTTCTCAATAATTCATCTCGATGACATTTTCGCGGCTTGTTGTCAACTGCCGAACAATATTCGGTATCATAATTCGACTGTGCGGGATGTAAAATGTGGCGAAGATAAGCTAAACACACGAAGACGAGCTGGGAACAGGGGACGACACCATAAAGGAAAACTGGCTGAGCAGAGGCGCGTGCGGAGGCTTCTTACGAGAAACTGCTTTACAACGAGTCAATTAAAAGTTTAAGTTTAATTAGAAACTCTCGACTCATGTGCGGTACGCGAGGGAGAGGAGTTTGGTATCTCCCTGGCTTTCTTCCTTTTCTGCTTCTATCTCTCTCATTTTTTCGTCCCCGTAATCCTTTATTTGTCTCTTTCTCTCTATAAGCTAATTCTAATCCCAAGTTGCAGGTTCCAGGTTACCGGTACGCGACTTTCCTTTGTTTCCCGCGCATCTCGTAGCGGGTCAAGTCTTAGAAGTACGCGAAAGGACGAAGAGATACGATAGGAAGAAATTGATGGAAGGAAAGCTTCAGCGTAACGATACAGAGAGAAACCATGTTTGTGTGTGTCGCCTAAGAATTCGAATTAGTTTCTAGCTTGGCACGAAGGAGCATTTGCCAATTTTCTGTTGCAATAGACGAAAATTCTAAAAGCGAAACGTCTTCAACTTTAGTAGAAGTAAAGCGTAGAAGTTGGGAAAGGATGGCTGAAATTTAGTATCTCCGAAAGTATATTTCTAGAGTTAAATTTAATGTATAAGTTATATTTGATATTCGACTAACTCGATAACTTTAATTATAAATTATATCATAAATATCGATTTTGATGTAGCAAACTTAATTAAGATTATCAAATTTAAGATCATTAAATTTCAAGAAGTAAATGCCGTACTTTATTGATATATATGTATAATGAAGCAAAAATTGGACAAGTTGTACATAATTTATGCGGGTTTTCATGTCATGAATCTCAAATTTGATTTAGAGAGAATAATTTATGGCCTTTCAGAATTTAGATGAAAATAATTTAATTGCATGAATTCTATTTATTGTTTCAATTTAATACTAGATGTTTGATTAAAATTAATCTTAGTTTGGCACAAAAAATTGAGCACAGATATAAAAAGATATTTGCTAGATATATATTTGAGTATAATATATATTTTTTTATTTATTTAAAATTTATATATATTATGTATTATTTTAAACGGTTTTTTAATTAATGGCGACTCTATGACAGCATTTATGCCGCATTAGTAATAAATCTTATACGATCGAGGAAAAAATTTATCGCGATTATATAAAATAAAACAGATTTTGAAAAAGGTCTGCTTGATCAAAGTGAATGCCCATCCTTTGAATAAACCCTCCAACTCTTGTAAAAGCGAGAATTGAACGGGTACTTGCAAATCTTTACCACTATATGCGACACAAGAAGAAAGGAAAGTGAAGCTGACACGAAAGGCGTAAGAACTCGCGAAGGGATTTTAACCTTCCACGGATTACATTTGGAGATCTACCGAGAGAGCAAAAAGATGAGGGTGCAAGGAATGCGTTGGTTTCAAGGGAAAATACAGCGCGAAGTGGAAGTGCAAACTAGCGGCGAGGATGGGGCTATAATTACCGGAACTACAGCGGTTGTCAAATGTCAAAGAGGTCGCACATAATTTAACACATGAGGCGAAAACTGTACAAAGAGCTCAGCAGCTGCGGAGAGCAGGCAAGATAGAGAAAATAGAGGAGACGAAACGCCCTGTTTCGCTGGGAAACAAGAGAGAAAAGGCAAAGAAAAAAGGAGAAAAAATGGGAGGGGAAGAAGGAAAGAGAGGGACAGAGAAACTGATATGTTACCCTTAAATCTCTTTTGTTCCGCACGCATTCATGCCCCCTTTGGCTCTCTCTCTTTCCCTCCCCTCAACTTCCCTCTCACTTTTTCTCGCCCTTGATGTACACAGTCGCTTTTTGTCGCCGTCCACTTAACGCGCTAAAGCGTCAAATTAAAAACTCGAGGCGACCTGGAAACAGCGATTAGTCGCTTTCGCGGCAGCGATTGCCCGTTATCGTTCGTCTCGTCGCTACTTTATATAACGCGGCCTTCTCGCCAACAGAAAGGCCGACCCGTCGTACCTTCTAGAGACCCCTTCGCGAACTCCCGCGACTACCACCAAGCACCTGGTCCGGAAACGTTACTCTCAAGATACCTCCTCGGAGCTGCAGAGCGACGCGTGATACGCGATATCACTGCGACCTGAGCGGCGCGACGATCTCGTCGGCGGCACCTGAGCACTACGACTGATGACTCGACGAGCGCAGTTGTCGGCCATCGTATCTCCGGATAAGCCTTATCGGTATCCAAAGACCCCACCCTTCGTCCGTGGGTCGCATCCCTCTCGCGTCTTTTCCTTTTTTCCGATGCTCCGCGTATTTTTCTGCTACGTCGACGACGACAATCCGTGCTCGTGAACAAACTTCACGTTCGCGCAATTTTCTCGATCGCGCCGTTTCGCTTATCTTTTCTCTTTTTCTGATTGAGATCCCGAATGCACCTACGTCGGATACCCTACGGATATCGCCAGATCGTCGGGCACGTCGTTCGAATCATCAGCTTGTCCCGGGTCGTCGACGTGGTGGTCTCTTTAGAATGTCACGTGATCGTTCATGCGCGATCCAGACGCGTCATGACGACATTCGCGACGTTTCTGAATAAATAAATCGCGTTAAGGAGCGCGAAGTCCCACGATGATGATCATTTTAGTCCCGCGATATCACTTATAATCCATGAAGGATGAGAGCCGCGTCGATTTTACGACGTCGCCATGTCGGTCGTCATCTGCAAAGAATGTTCACCTGTTAAAGGTATTAATCCCCGCACCTCACTCAAACGTTGTTGAAGTCGCTCATTCAGAAATCGCAAAGTTACATACTTCGATTTATAACTGATGATTGCGTCACATGTGAAGAAAATTATTTTTCGCGTGAACAAAATTATTTTCTTCCTTTCCATCTAATTAGAAAATGAAATATAAATTAAGAATAAAAATAGAAGATATAGGATTGCAAAAGTTTATCCTTCTTTCAACAAAAAAAAAATTAAGAAATGAGGGCAACCTGATTAACACTTTCTCGTGTGTGTTCGCGCTTATACAAAGTCTCCGAGATAATATAAGGCCGGATATGTCGCCCTCTAAAAGTGTCTAACAGCGTAGGTTAAAAGCGAAGGAATGTTCGTCAATATTTTCTCACTACCAGAGCGAGGTGATGAAGCAGACACCGACCGGCGTTCTTGAAGATTAGATAAGACGCTTGGCTGTAGTGACTTGCACAACGACACCGCTGCCCTCGAGATGTTACTGTCAAGCGACTGTCGGCGGCATGGTGCATTCGTGGATGCAACGGCACGAGAAATATTTGACGTTTATTGCATAAGTAAGTGCCCGACAATGTGCCCGTCAAACCGCTAAAAGCGGCGCGCGGAAATATTTAGTGGATGTACGTATAGCCGTTGCCATAAATTACGGCATTATTGCCTCGAAGCTCGACCGAGTGACGCACGTTACACGCCTTTCAAATTAGACTTCCGTAATCCAAATGGCCTCGTCGCATAAAACCTTAAAATGTCGTTCCTAGTTATTGCGCGATACAAATGTCACACGGTATGACATTTGATTGATAAGCAAAGCAACTATTAGCATTACGTTCGACTCGAAAAACCGCAATCGCGGTTAATCTACATTAGTAATAAAAGGCTTTTAACGTTCTTATACAAGATTTTATACGAATATGTGACATCTCTCATATGTATATTTTTAAAAATAATTAGAATCATAGACGGAGAATATATAAGACATGATAATTAATATTCTTAATAGAACAGCTTAAACATGGAATAAAATATTAATAATTGTCTAGAAAATTATATTTTACACAGAGATGTTTTCTTACAAAAATTGCTTCTCAAATAATAAGGAAAGCGAACTTATTTCAGCATCTATTTCGGAGCATTGATTTCTGTCGCGTTAATCGTCATGTTAAATTTTGAAATAAGCCTTATAAGTAAGTCATAATATAAAGAAGAAGACAGTAGATATAGAAAATAATTAACAGTAACATAATTTTATTATTAGATGCCATGGCCTCTGAGAAGAGTGAGTTAAGAAAAATATGAGTGCGATAATTTCTCATATTTCCTTTATATTACTCTTTAATTTTCATATATCTGCCTTAAAAAATTGACAGTTCAAGACAGATAATTGTCGCTTATTATTAGTTAGATCATAAAACTGTACTGTTGCAAAATGTAGATATTCCTGAAAACAGGCAATCGCAACCATCGAATTGGCTTTTGGCGTGTTGAGTTTGCGTTCGACGTAAAATGAAATAATTAAGTATCTCTTACTTATGCAGTTTAATTCGAATAACTGCGATATCTCTATCTAAATGTCAAATTATTATAGTTTTCTAAAGTATTAACTTAAATTTCATTTATTTCTTCAAAATAGTTGTTAATAATCCGGAATATATATCTGATTCCATGGATTCTTTTTCATTTTGTCAACTTCTTGCTTTAAACTTTCTGTGTTTTTTATCTTTTATTTTATTTATTTTATTTTTTTACCCGTATTTCTTTTTTGCCTTTTATATTTTTCTACTATTTTTAATATTTTTAATGTTTTTTCTCTATATTTTTTCTTTTTTTTATCTTGTATTTCAAGGGTTTTTGTTTGATTTCATCCTATATATATATAAAAATTCAATTCTATTGCATACATAAATGTATGCTCAGTTTTGTACGATAAGTTTGTTCTGAAATAGATATATGAATCTAATTCGGAACATTTCATTTTTTCCATACTCTTGAAGAATAATCATTTACAGTATTTCTTAAATATCATAGTTTAACATGTATGAATTTACCGATCGGAATTTAATTTCCGTTTCGAATTAGATGCGGATAAACTAATATTTGGAACAGATGCAGGACTTGAATTAATTGCTTGCTATTTCGAAATAAATCCTGTTTTAAATACTTATTCTTATAAAGGTAAAAAGTGAGACTCTTTAGCATGTATTAAATTTATTTTAAATTTATCTTAGAAGAGACTTTAAAAAAAGATACAACAGTTTCTTTTTAATTTAACCCAAAATTCCTTAACTTCAAATAATACTGTATTTAAAAAAGTAATACGATCAAATGAAATTAGAAAACCTTTTAACAATATCATATACATTATTTTCGTCAAAGTATATTAAAGTGAAATGTTCGCAAAATTTTATCATCGCAGAGATATATTATATTATAGTTATTATTGTATATATTTAAAATTATTATTAATGTATATATTTATTTAAAATTATTACTCAATAATTTTCTTCGTGACCCTGTTTATTTCATCATCAATAGCTTTCATAGAAATATATAAATTTCGAGATTGCTTCAGACCGGAATTTTCTACTGAGCGAATATTTTTGCATATTTTATAACTTTATTGCATCATTTGACGGGTAAATAATAACAGATCGATGAATAATATCAGCAACCGAAGGTTTGCGAAATATTGAAACACGTTACAACAGGGCATTATTCAATATAGCAATTAAAAATTCGTTCCGATTGATATTAACGCACGCTCGCATATCTGATGTATTTCACTGCAAAATTACGTTACAAAGCGGAATTGATAACGAGATTGTTGCCAAGCCGATAAATGCAGCAGTTGCAGGTAAATATTTAACAATACAATATTTTCATCGAGGAAAGCCTTTTATGAGATAGAAATGTCTGCAGGAATGGCCATTATATTCTAGCACCCCAAGCTTCTGAAACAAGTTTCGGAAGCTTTTGTTTGCCAAAAGTAAAATAAAGTTTCACAATTCAAACGAAAAAATTTAAATCATATTTCATGAAACGATTCACTGATTATTTACGTGTGATAGTAATATCTGCGAAATAATTATTTAGAATAACGCAAAAAAAATAACGATTAAATAATCAATAATAACGATTGTAATGCGTCAATTTGGGAAATGTAAGATTATGTAATACAATGTCCCTGACAATAAAAATCAAACTTGAGAATGTTACAAAAAGAGGAATGTGTGGACCGTGTAATGCAGTATAAAATGTAATATTATGCAATACGAGCAGATCTAAGGTAAGTTAGAATTGTTACGAATTATCGATTGAGAATTATGCCACATAAATTGCAGTGTAGAGACGGTTTGAAGCATGTTAGGCGTAAATAAGCGGCAACCAGGTATAAGCAGGTATGCGCGCCAAGTGTGTATCTAGTTCTCGTCCGAAATAACAATGCAGACGGTAGGATAGTACCTATCGTTATATTGCATAGCTAAGCAATCATCACTTATTTGCCGGGGCGAAACAGCCCCGTTTGCAAACCGACAAAGAGGTATTGTTCTTTCAAAGGATCTCTCCAGCACGCGCTCGGCTCCTACTATTTACATGGCCTAACTCAACATTATATCCCAAAGTTCGCGCGGCCCTCCACGAATGATGTATTCCAGGAAAGTCACGCTTTACACGAATAGAAAATCATATCTCTGATATAATATCCAATTTATCTGAAGATTTTTGTGTGCAACAAAAATAATATTCGATATCTGCGAACGTTGTATTAATTTTTCACTAGATATGCGTCGATTAGACTCGAAAACTTTAAGAAGAAAGGTATTTAGAAGAGCGGTTCCTAATTTTAATATTCATTTGCAAGTTATTTTAAACTTGTATAATTCTTCTGGACATTTTTTATAATTATTTTTATAAAAATTTTATTTGCGAGCAAAAGTTTGATTAGGACCTTCATTATCGTAGCATGGATGTCACCTTGGTTCTCGCAATCCGACGGAATCGAGTGCAGAAGCAATGAAATTCAAGTGGCAAGAATTCGCGAGTGGGCGCCATTTACGAGAACTTTTTCGCAGAGTGTCCTAAAGTCCAGCAAATCCGGACAAGTTATCGTCTTCCAGCTGGCTCTCGAACAACAAATCTCTCGAAGATGACAACGTTCTTTTTTTATTCATTACAACGAGATTCACTCGTAAAGTTCTTAAAAGTCGACAAACGAAGAATTCCGAGGGTCGTTCGCAAAAAGTATGACGGTTCAATAAGCATTTGATGATCTGCTTTTGTACGATGAATGAATTTATTGACATTAGCAGAGAATTCTTGAAAAAGATGCAACTTTTGCAGTATTCAGAAATAGGAAAGAATATTGACTATATAATATGCATATCATTATATGAAAAATATTATATATAATATTATATATAAAATAATATTATAAATAGTATTATAAATATTATAAAATAATATTATATATAAAAATATGTAATATTTATAATTTATCTCGTAATTTTATTATTTATTACTAATAAATATCCAAATAACCAAACGTTAATATTAAATATAAATATCGAAAAGTTTAAAATGAAATGCATTTTAATAACGTGTAAAAATTTTTTGTCTGTATAATATCTTTAAAATCTTTAAAATATATAATATTTATAGTTTATCTCGTAATTTTATTACCATTAAATGTCCAAATAACCAAACGTTAATATTAAATATCGAAAAGTTAAAAATGAAATGCATTTTAATAATGTATAAAATCTTTAAAATCTTTAAAAAGTGGAAAATAATTATTCGTTTGAAACCAAAGGTCATGTAATGTAAATAGACCTCGCTATAAAATCAACGTAATTACAATAGCCAATATAGGTGACAAAAAGCGCGATATTTATTCAAACAACGATAAAATTATTTATTGCACGACCATATATTTATTTAGAATACTGCGTGCGTAATAATATTTT